GTCTGCGTTTTTACTCACTTCCAAGTTCGAAGTATGTTGATTCTTGGGTTTCGTTGGAAGGGAGGGTGCCCTAGAGCACTCAAACCATATAGTTCTACTCTACTAACAACCGAAGCAGGTTTTTACAACCCTACCTTTAATTTCTCTCTATCTTCTCCGTTCCACCATAACAGCTATGTATATTTCATTTTTTGTATGAAACTATGATAAATCAATTTTATCAATGTGAAAAAAACGAAAAGGATGTATGATACGTAAATTGCAATCCGCACATATGATGCATCAATTGTCTTCTGAGTTGCTTTTTATCTCTTATGTAAATGGGACCAGGATGTTGGAAGTGGGAGCTAGATGGTATAGTTACTTCCAGACTTTTAGTTAAAACATGGTTGGTAATTGGAATCCAATATTTTATAGGCTTATAACAAAAATATAGTGTATTTTCCTTGGGGACAATCTATGTTAACATATTTTCAAAACCAAGGCACAAAAAGGGTTAATCCGAAATAATTTAAGGAGTAATATAATGTCTGGACTCTGGACTGTGCAAATGAAGAAAGTGACCATGATTAAGAGACAATGAAATGGAAAGTTATTTGAATAAAAGTAGGTAGATGAAGTATTGAACAAAGTTCAAGCAGCCTAGGCAGCCTATCCAAGACGTTTTGGTTGTAAATTAACCATTTTTCACAAAATAACTGATAATATAAATACTGCTCCTTTCAGATTTATAGAAAATACAAATGATACTATAAAACATCCTACATTTCAGCTAATTTCAAAGAATGGTTGAAGTGACGTTTTTTATTTTTCTTCTGAAAGTTACTTCATACATAGTAAGTGAAATGAAACCAGAGTGTTCATTTAAACATCATAAAGAAAAACATACAGACCAATAAACACATTGCTATCTCTTAAGATGATTTTTTTAACCATTTTTCTATTTTTAAACTTGATGGTTTTGATACCATAAAAAAAACTTGATGCTTTTGATTGGTTTTGGTTTCAAGTCCATTACTTTCTATTAGGAATAAAGTTCTATTATCAATTTAATAAGTTTTGACCATCATATGTTCGCCATACTTTATTTCATTCTAAAGTCCATCAATACTTTGCTACATAATTTATAATCCTTCCTGAGGTTCAAATGGAAAATTAGTGATGAACTACTTTCTTTGATAGATTTTTAGGGTCTAATAAAATTTTACATCTTGCCCCTTGCATGAATAATTGAATGTATCACTACATTAAAGACAGATAATCAAATTAACATCAAAAGAGGGAGTCTCAATATATTGATTTAGACCTCCTAAAGGAGATAGAATCATACTCCAGCCCAAATATACTCATGAACCTTGATATGTGTTTCTTATATTAGCCTCACCTGGTAAGCACTAAACATTTAGATAAAGTAAATGAGTTACTATAGTATGTGGACATGTAAAAATAGATCAACATTTTCACAAAAATTTAAAAACTTAACAAACCTTTCCAACAATACTTTCTCTACCTACAATAGGATAAATATTAGCCGCCTTTCTAACAGACACAAATATGATACTATTAAATCGTTAAAAAAGTTCCAGTCATTACTCTACTTGAATGGAATAATATAAAAAAGAATTTAAATTGTAGATCTTGAAATGGATCATACCTAATCAAAATGAACCAACACAAACACTCCTATAATCTAAAAACTTATAAACATCAATGATGGTTAGGGCATTTTAGGAATGATAAAAATGTTGGTGTAACATTATAGCAAAATGCTCTTGTACCATTTGTTTTAGGCATTGCACCATTCACTATAATCTCTTTATCTACTCCTTACTTCCGTTAAAAACCAAACGGAAGAGTTTCCAAGTTCGTACATGTGCCCTTGGCATTTTACTTCATACTTGATTGAATTTATTTCCATTCAATATTTCCACTTAATTTTTCATTTGTAATAAATTTTTCTCTACGTGACCTTATTTGATATGTAGAGGATAAAAATACAAATTTTATGTAAATTAAACTATTATTATTATGATCATCTTATCAATAATTTTATTATTATCAATGTTATTGTTATCATTATTATTATCGTATTCCTATTATCAATATTTTTATGATTATTATTAATATTTATTATTATTTTTGTTCTTGTTATTTGTATGCTATTAAAAATATAAAGACATAATTAAGTTGTTGCTATTATTATTATTTGAAAAAGAGAGATTTGCAATATTAATCTTGTAACTTTCGGTTGTTATCGTTACTGGTCATGTAACTTTAATCACATGCAAATTTGGTCCTGTAACTAACAAGTCTTTTCAATTTAAAGAATTTTCCATCGGAAAGTACATTTTCTGGCAGAAAAAACCGACGCCGGCGACATCTTTTTCGGTATACTATCATCGAAGTGTACTTTTCAAGGAAAAAGTCTTTGAATCACAAATATTAATTAGTTACAGGATCAGATTTACAAGTGACTAAAGTTACGAGACTAATAATGAAAACGGACGAATGTTACGGGAAGAAAATTGCAAATTTCCCTTCTGAAAAACTATAACATAATTTCAAGAAGACGATATCTTGCCTTAATATGTCTTAAATTCCTTTATAGCAGAGTCATAAGTGTCAATTGAAAATGTAAATATGGAAACACGAGTTTAATCTGACACTTCGTATATTGTTATATTCTATGTGTATAGATATAATTTTATTATAAACGGTAGATGTCAAATCATCACCCTAGTCACCCCAACTCAATCCCAAGTACTCCGTAATATGTCTGTCCATTGAAATATTTTATTTCATATGCTTATCAGAGAAGAATATTAACTATTGAATAAAAAATATTATTGATTTTACCTCAGTGGAACTATATATTAATCACATTCGTTATTGTACCCGCCACTTAATAACTACATATTGGGCTCAAATATCAAAGTGGCACACATGTTTTGCACACTATAAACCTCATCATTCAGCCCAATATTTTTTATTGTTTATTATCACTATGTTGATATTATATTCTTTTTTTGGTAAAGTGTTGATATTATATTCTAATAAAGTGTTTGTGTACAATTTCAAGCAATCCAAATATAATAATCATTAACATTCCATTATATTAACCTTACGAAAATAGTTTTGGGCATTTTTTCCTCGCGCATCGCGTGTCATACAACTAGTCTCTCTTATAGTGTCGGATCAAAGATGATTCGACACTATTAACGGGCCCGGCCTACACTACACCATAATCACTCTATCACACCATAATCACTCTATCACACCATTAATAATAGTAATTCCTAATCAGGAATAGTTGGAAGATGACTAATTCAATAATATTTCAACACTCCCCCTTGAATGGTCATCTTCTAATTATTCTGGGGTATTAGTTTCATAGTATTATAATGTACTGTCTCGTTAAAAGCCTTGTCAGAAAAAATCCAGTGGGAAAAAAATCCCGACGAATGGAAAAAGAGTGCAGTGCATTATATTATGAATCTACTTTTGTGAAACGGATTTGTTATTGTTGATTTAATAAGACTCATTTGCCTTAGATGAAAGAGACACTTGTTTAAGAGGGGGCACACTAACATATATTTTGCATGAAACTCATTAAATAACTTATGAAATAAAAATAACTTATGAAATAAAAATTACTAACAATGTTGAATTGTGTTGTGTTCCCATTAATGAGTGGCTATTTATATTTTTTAGACTCCCTCACCCCCGCCCCCAAACACTCATGGGGCTCAACTAGTCATTTTTTAGCCGTTGGAAACCTTTCAAACGGTCAACATATTGGCTCTATTGATAAACTGGAAAAAAAAGAGAATAATTTGACCGTTAGGGACCGGGCTCGAGACCGGCCAGTCCGGGTCTAAACATATGCACTAGGCCAGTCCGGATCTAAACAGTCAGAGTATTGCTCTCTTTATTCATTTGAGTTCCTACTTTCTAAGCCCGTCAAGTTGAAGCAATTCAGTTTTTGCAAATATAGACCCTCGATAATTCCATTGTCTGCACTACCCAAATGGGTAGTTTGTTTATAAGGTTACTAGTGAAAAGGTATTTAGTGTACTTACATTCGACTAAATCGCACCACTTCAGTGTTGTAAGTGGTAGAAATGAGTCGAATTGTAGTGAGCAATAAAATTTGATTCGTTGAAGTGGTCCAAGTGCCTAACAGTAATAGATGTTTTTGGCACATAATCTAGTTTTATTTGCGATTCAATGTTGTAGACTTGTAGCTAAGTACATGTCTTGAGTAGTATCCCATCCTTCACTATCATAGCCACTTCCATTGCTGAATCAAGGTATTCCTCTCTTAACTAGGAACTCAAATGTTGTGAATTTGACAAAAAGGGCAAGAATAGTTTTAGCATCATGAAAGGCATGCCTATAAATATGGAGAAGTTCTCATTTGTTAAAGCATCAGACAAAGAAGAGAATCAGAGATACACGCTTTGGAGTCTTTGGAGAGTGAGAATTGTTGCTTTTTTTTTTGTAATTATATTCTGCTTAAGTTGCAAGGATTTCTTAAACTCAAACATGATGTTTGACGTTTTTTTTATGATGCCAACAGCCCAACAAGCAGAACTTTGACGATTGATGATAGCTCTTGTTTGGTTGATTATAAATGCAAAAAGTGCATGATTATTTAGTGATTGTCCCAATCCGACTGGCCAAGCCCCGAAGGGAAAATGGCAAATTAGACTCAGCCATGTATGTCTACTGAACTGTTTTTAAGGAGCTTTGAATTTGAAGGCAGGGAAGTGAGGGGAACTATATATATTTCTGCATCACGTTTTACTCACCTCAAATTCAAAAATTCAATGACTTTGCCATTTCTACTACAGTGTTGAATGAGATCTGCAATTTCATCAGAGATAACATCCCATTCCAGGATTTCCAGGAAATGTTTGATAAAATCCAAAAAATGTCTACAAATAGAACTTGGTCACATATTCAAAGCTATTAAGCTAATCATCAAAAGCCAAGTGAAGAAACAAGTAACGACAAAAAAGGAGTTGCTAGTGCCTATGCAAATAGCAGATAAAAAGTAAAGAAGTAGAATATATTAAAATAGATACATGTCACTGATTTCTAAAATGCTGATGGCCTTTGGACAATATAGACCTCATCATCCCTAAATTCTCTTGGTGATTTTGGTTGGAAAAATATTGCTCAAGAGCACCAACTGAGTGCTCATATAAAAGACGTCCGCCCTCCTCTCCTACTGTGCCTATCATATGCAGTGTTGAATTTGTCAACCAGCTCGTTCATTGTGCTGCCATCCAGCGAATGGAAGTTTGTTAGATATACCAATTGCCAACGCGCAAAGAAAGAAGATATGGATTTAGTTTTAGTACATCACTTTGAAAAAGAAAAAATACATCACTTTGAAGTCAATAAAGTATGGATTTGGCCGAGTGCCATTAAAATTATGAGCTGATTTTGAATTAACTCCGGGTGATCTAAATTGTTAATTTAAAAATCTATCTACAAGTAAATGAAAATACCATACAAAATATAGGTTGAAGTATCAATTTCAGTCTTTTTAGCCTAGTAAAGTAACTCATGCTCGACTCTCTTTTGTATATTTAGCCAATTCATCCAGCACCATGTAATCATTTACTTTAATAAAAAAAATGGTTTTACAAGCTGGAAATGATTCCTACAATCCTACCAAACGGGGATCTCAATCAATCCAAACACAACTTCACTACGAGTTAAAGTAGCTTTTGGCCAAAACAGTATATGAATCATACCTTGAGCAGTTGGTGAACATCGCCAGGTATGTCACTAACAGTGTATCGTTATATTCCTGCTCAGTAAAATGACAAATTGGTCACAGTCTACTTTAAAAAATTGCTAATACTTCGTACAGTTAAATCACCGAGCAGAGCTTAAAGGTAATTTGTGGTTTCTTTGATGGTATGTAGCTTACAGAATAAACTGTATAAATTTAGACAATAAGGAACACCAATCCGTTTAGCTCACCATTTGCATGGTATACAACCCCACTGCGTAAAAAATTACACTCATTCCATTTAATACTCACCATTAGAAAATCATCTTGGAATTTCTCGGACTCGATTGCTGGCAATCTTCTCAATAGACTAGAGACCTGCCTTAGCAAAGAATTCTCAGAAGGAATTTCACCTGCATTTGCAGTAGACACCACAAGTCAGCGTTTTCTAAGGCAAGGTATTTAAATTACAACTTGACTTCCAATAAGAGAAAGTGGTCACCTTTTTGCATGGAAAGAAGATAGTCATCAAGCACTCTGATTCTGCTATTTAGCATTTTTATAGCACTATGTATACCCGTAAGATGAGCAGCCACTGTCTCAAGATAGCAAAAAAATATATATAATGTGATGTGCCTCCTATGTTCTACCAGAAAAATAAAGCAATTGAATAGTGCACTTATTTCACATGGAAAAGGAGTTGCGATAATTAAATATTTTGTTCAGTAGTGAAATTGAGCTCACATTGTGTAGCAGCAGAACCACCATCTGAAGGTTTAAGATGTGCGACATGATCAACAGATATTCGTTCAGCTTCAACCGTCTTATAAGAAAAAAAGGAAAACGACACTAGGTCATCTGTTCTTTACACATCTTGACAACATCATAAAAGATAAATACTACCTCCGTCCCCCTAAGTTTGGGACAAGAGAAAGTGGCACGGTTATTAATAAAAATAGGTTTATGTGGTTGGTATTGAATTGATAAAGTAAGAATAAAGTAGAAATGATTTAGAACCACACAAACTTTACCAAATAAGGTATGGGACAATCTTAGTGGGACGGACCGAAATGGTAAAATGGGACAATCATAGCGGGACGGAGGGAGTAGTAAACAAAGAGAAACACACCTCAATAGTGTAACTGGCATGCACAAAAATAAGCTGTGGTATCCCATCAATCACATGCAGCTCTTCCATGGCAATAAACAGTTCAGTAGAGCAAGTGAGCTTGGAAAGCCAGTAACAGAGGTAATATACAAGGTAATATTCATCCACAAACTTTTATGAAACAAAAAGAATGCTCTTTGGATTTAATGAAACTTTGAAGTTATACTTCACAGTTCACACAAATTGCATTTGGTTTAACATCATTATATATAGATAGAAGTGAAGAAAATCAACACTAGCATAGAACATATCATCTAGATAGAAATTTCATAGAATGAAGCACATACCGCTTTCATATATGGTGACTGGTAAATCCTTCTGTACGTGATTGATGGAGGGGTTAAGAAGAACATATACCGGACTCTCATTGATATCCATCAGCTGTGGTCACACAACATTCTTTAAAAAAGTTTTACATTTTGATAAGAATGCAACTAAGGAGGGCAATGGGGCGGGGGATGGGTGAGATATTCCAACCACACTAAAATATGGGGCGGGGGATGGGTGAGATATTCCAACCACACTAAAATATGGGGCGGGGGATGGGTGAGATATTCCAACCACAGTAAAATATGGGGAGGGTGACAGGGAATGCTAGACCTTCCCCGCCCCCACTATATATGTATATATTGTATACATGTGCACGTGTGTGTGTGTGTGTGTGTGTACACACACACAATATACATGCATACATAAATAATACTCCCTTTGTCCCTTATAACTTTGACATCTTTCCTTTTCAGGTTGTCCCAATAACTTTGTCACTTCCCTTGTAATCAATAAATATGTGATTTCTATTATTTTTCTCTCATCTACACAAACCTCAAATACACAGTTTTTACTTTATCCTTCCCCGTACCAGTCAAACTTGACAAATTTTGAGGGACGAGGAAGTATATAACATTATATAATTATATACCTGTAGTAATATATAACAAACACAAACAAACATACATACATGTATGTGTATTAAAGTACAAACACAAACTCCATATGCATATATCCATATGGAGGAAGCTTTTTTGGGAACCTTTTTCAGGACATCAGTAAGCATTTTCTAAATGTCCTCTAGAAGATGAAATTTTTGAAAGATCAAATTAAATCATATTGAAGTCCTAAATTTCCAACCTTGTTCTAGAACTACCTGGAGAATTTGCACAATTTGGAAATAAATACCCAAGCCTGTACTAATGTATCCTTTGTTTAGAACAAAGGGCGGGAACTAATGTACAGCATCTAAAAATCACAAAAATCTTAGGAGGTCAGAAGATGTAGGACTTCATGTAAAACTCGAGCAATAGTTGCTTCAGTTAAAACGACCTATACATAAAGCGTGACTAAATAGAACATGGTTTAGACGCAAAGGAAAACTCACAGCCTTGTGAATGTGCATATCAGATTCCTGAGCATCACTCCCAGTTGAGTACCATCCCAGTATGTAAAAGTTGGGAAACACCTTCTTATCTGTTTAAGACATAAACAATAACTATTTCAGTTTTGCAGCTAAAACAGTACCACCAATTACGAAAAATAGAATAATGAATTTAATTTATTACTGACAAAGCTCTTGCTTCTTTTCGAGGAAGCCGCGATCAAGAGTATGAGTATCGGGGTCATAGAGAAGCTCGAAGCTGTTGAAGATCTCAACAGTGCGACCTTTCTGAACGCCGATTACGCATCCGAATACCCTAGGAGGAGACGAGGCAGCGGCGGGTGATGAGGGGTCGGCGCCACCAGAGGAACCGTGGGGAGGCGGGGGTTGTGACTGGGACTTGACCCGAGTGTGATGATCCGAGATATTGAGTATAACTAGCGGGTGGAGTTTGAAGGTTAAGCCACTGCTGGAGGATGACGCCATTCCTCCCCTTTCTCCGGATCGACTCACAGGTTCAGTTGGAAGGGAGAGAGAAGAGGGCTCGCTTCGGGAAAAGCCGTATGATGGACCCCCAATTTCACACGTAACACAGGTGAGCATATCGATTTTGTGTTAGGTTTTAGGGGAATATTTGAAAGCAGGTCTAGGAACCGCTATAAAACGGTTCAGGTAGGGTTGAATAATTTTTTGGGAATTTTTCACAAATAGGCTACAAGGTCAAAGAAATATCACGTTTTTCACTTTTGATTTTGTTTTTCAGAAATAGACTACCTCGCCGTTTATTTTCACAAATAGACCAGAGTATAAAACACTCAGCACGCTCACTTGATTCTTCCATGATAATTTTCACAAGTGCACGTACACTAATGATGATGAGTCCCTACTCTCCTACAGATGTACGGAGTATATTAATACCAACTTGACCAATCAATTTTTTTTTAAATAGAAAAAAATATAAATATTTAATAAACACAAAGGTTGATCATAAATAGGAAAATAATAAAAATCGATATAGTAAATTTTTTTTATAAAAAACTCAAAGAAAAATTAAAATTCAAAAAAACATAATAAAAGTTGAAAAATTATAAACATGCAAATTATATTTCGAAATTAAATTAAGATGAATTGAGTTAAAAAATAGAAAAATACAAATAAGCCTATATTAAATTTGGAATAACAAAATTGAAAATAAAATGATTTTTTTAAAAAAAAAATAGTTAAATATGTGGGAAAATTGTATCATACAATTAATACTCCGTATACTGATTTATTTTTTAAATAGTAAAATTTATTTAAAAAATTTAAATGTAAAGAATATATAAATTTGCAAATTTCATAAAACAGGTAAGAAATATTTAAATTTTAAAAAACTAAGAGATATCAAAAGTAGTTATAAATTTTTTGTGATTAATTTTTTTTAAAAACAGAATATATGCAATCTAAAAAAGAGTTTAAAACTTCAAATAAATTTATAAAATTTTAAAACGATCAAATAGTTCAATTTATATGTATCAATTAAATTAAAATTAAAATTAAAAAATCTTAAAAATTAAAAAAGGAAAATAACTAAACAAAAACCGTTTAAATATATAAAATCAAATGAAATTTAAAATAAAGAATTAAAAATATAAGAAATGAATAAAATTTAAAATTTCAGAAAAAAAGATAGAAATAAAAAATGAGGCATAATAGAAAAAATTAAAAATGAATATATATTCAAAAAATTAGAATTTTTATCAACAGTAAAAAACTTAATAAAAGTTTAAGAAATACATAATTCAAAAAACAAGTTAAAAGAGCTATATATAATTTTTATTTTTGTTAATACTATTAGTACTACTAATGTTGATTTTATGTTGTCTTTTGTTGCATTGTTTTATATGGTTTCTTTGTGTTTCGTTTTGTTGGTGAATTTTCGTATTTTGTTTATTTAAGTTTCTCAATGATATTTGCAATTTTTGTATTATACACACATATATAGAGTTACTTTGTACCAAAGTAGCAAAAATAAATGAAAGCATAGATTAGAAAATTAAGAAAAATATTAAAAACCAGTCATTATATTGAACATTAATGATAAACAAAAAGCAACAATATACAACAACAAAAAACAAGAAGATGCAACAAAAAACAACAAAAAGAAACAAAAAAGAAAAACAACATATAAGATCCACATTCAAGGGCGGAGCCAAGAAACTAGGCCAGACTTGCTTGATACAAAGATTTTTTTTACACGGAACTTTTTACACAAAAAATATAGATATTTTTTAAATTTGGGTTGAGCCGGGGCTGGCCCTCCCCTAGCTACGCCCCTTTCCACATTTAAATTTCTTTTTGCATATTCATTATTACAATTACAAATATAATTATTCAATATATAAGTGTACAACCAAACTCATTTTGCTATATATATTTACAAGTATCCTAGAGGATAGAAATAGTCCTTCCTGATGCGGCATATCATATCACACTATACTTCAAGGAGAGACCTGAAACAATATGCAACATGATGCAACAATTAACAACATGATGCAACAAAAAGAAACAAATATGATGCAACAAAAAGAAACAAATATGATGCAACAAAAAGAAACAGGTACAACATATAAAAGTATCACAACATATGTATATTACTCGATCTATTACATTTATCTATCACATTATTTAGCTTCATTTATCAAAGTTCACCTTTCTTTTTAAAAAAAAGTCAATTAATCCCGGTGGTTTATTGGCTACAAAAAATATCATCCTACATAAAAGAAGAATGGGGATGTATGAAACTAGCAATGAATGAGTTGTATGACTTGTATCTAACTAAACATCAACCTGAATCCATCATTGTTTTTTCAACCAATAAATTAAAACATTTCCTCCTTTATTTATATTATTACTACCAGAGTATGTTATCACTTCCATGATTAGCATGATTCTAAAATTTCCTTCACACTTTCACTACCATCCATATGACTACTACCTTTCTGAAACTCATTGAGTTTCATACAAAGACATATCTGTTGGAACCCTGAAAAGAATTTCTACGAACCTACTTACTTCTGAATGTAATTGACTACTAAAAGGGTAGATAGGAACCGGGATGAGGTGACAAACCTAGGCATCTTCCTGATGGAAATGGCACCTATTGGAGTCTCTATTTCTGCCCACACTGAAAAAGACTTTTAACTTGTATTGCCTGAAAAAGAGTCATAACAGAAAATCAATCTGTTGATATGTCTGTGTGTAAATTAAGATAATAACACATGAAATGGAATCTCAATATTTAAATTTCATACACACAAGTAGAAGTCCAGTTATGTTATTTAGATTCCCAAGTATAGAGGAACACAATTGTGACCTCTAGCAAGAATTTTTCCTATTGCTTCCTATACAAGTGCAAGGTAAGGTTTGATATAATTAAGTATTTTCATACTCTCTATCCACCTATATTCATGAGACTTCCATGAAGTATCTCCCAAAGTACACATGTCCATGTTGCTTATTAAATTATTCTAAGAAATTTTGTAGCAAACTCTGTGAGCCACAAATATGGAGCATGAACACTCAATAAAACTAAACATACAAATTCTAATCATGCCACATTTAAGAAGTGCGCAGGCAAATTCATAAGGCATTAAAATTTGGCATCTGTTTGACATAACTTGAAGATAAAATCATTGCTATTTAGTTTTTCAAACAATAAATGACCATAAAAAAACGTCCGTACTCAATGCGTGCTTAGATTGTGAAGTTTTTTGTGCGTATGAGAGAAAGACGAACCTTGATAGAAGAGATTCAGGAGTGATATCTTCAACCAATACTCTGTCGAGACCCTGGTAGGTGCGCTGAGCGCAATCAGAAGTGCTCTATACAGAGAAGTCATCTTCTGAGATATTGGACTCCTACCACTCATGCCTTAATCCTCTGTATGTGATAAGTCGGTGATGGTGGACTTGGTCATACCTTCCATTGTCAACTCGACTATTTCCCGATTCCGATCTCTAGAATTCCTGGAGAAACTTGCAGACGCCGTTCAATTGAAACCAACGACAGCTAGATCCGTGGAGGAGAGATGAAATTCAGGTGAATGGTGAAGAATCGAAGAGGAGATAGTTAAATTCACAGAGATTAAATTGAAATTCCACAAACTGCCATAGCTGAGATTTCAGACCACCTCCCATCCTCTCGCATCTTTATCGCAGATGCAATATCTCTGACATCTTTGTTATATTGGTGAAAACCACTTTAGATTCGAAATAGTGGACTGGAGAGGCGGTAATCGGAAGATAAGACGGAAGCGGAAATCGGAGGACTCACCTGAAGTAGCAGAATGAGATGGATGGCAGCATGGAGAGAAGAGTGGACGAACGAGTAACGACGGGAATGGTTGAATACTCCGTATAAGATTTAGGGCTCAAACTACTTTTGAAATATAAAATATAAAAGTGAAAAGGCAAGAGTTTAGATATGAAAAGAAAAAAGGGTGGGGCTATAAATGAAATGTAACGAATAAAAAGAGGCTCAAACGGGTAATTTCCACTAATTTTTTTTAAAGATCCGGACCGGTTCCAAAATTAAAAAATACCGGGTACCCGGCCCGTTATATATATATTGTGTATTAATTTATTAATAGTTTTGTGAAAATCGGTTTTGAAATAATTCTGTTTTCTTTTGCTAGAAGTAGGATTTTAAATTGAGTTGCAGTAACATCCTTTTGTTTTCAAATTACTGATTAAATTTTACATAAATTTCTTATTACTTTTTATTGTTATTGAATTATTCCTTTCTATGAAATTTAATTATTTGTTAAAAATGATTTTGTAATATTTGTTTTTATAATATTGTTCTTAAAATATATAAATTGTTCTTACCACCCCCATGTATGTGTCAACTTTGGCTAGTAATGAAAATTTTAATAAAATACGATCATCTTAATATGTGATGTTAGACAACATGTTTAAATTCAAATGCTAGAAAATACAGAGTATGTATTTTGGCTATGTTGCTAATTTTTGGAAATTCTTTAATTGTTTGGAACTTATATACATAAAATTATGGAGTATTAGACTTGTCACTTGTGTTACATGTGCACCACTATGTTGTTATTTTGAAACTTGCTAATGTACTATATTATTGATTATTGATTTTTGTAACTTGGTGAGTTTTTACTAATTTCAAGACATGAGAGTAAAAATCGTAAAACCCGGACCAGACTGACCCGTTTCAAACGGTCCGGGTAAGGTCCAGTTCCAATTGTGAGAATTGCAATACTCAAACCGGACCGGACCGTAAAATGGAACCGGCGGTTCCATTTTATTTTGCATTACCCGCCCTGACCCGGCCCGTGCCCAGCCCTATTTGAAACTGATTCTGCTTCTGTTTGTTTTTAAAAGCAGAAGCAGAATCAATATTTATTCAGAAGCTGGTCATCTCCAGTTTCTAAAAAATTAATTCTAGGAGTAATTTAAAGCATCAAAATCATTTCTGCACTTTCACCCAAACACTCCAGCTTCTCTTTCTGCTCCCTGATGGAGCAGAATCACTTTTAAAAATCAGATCCAAACACCCCCCTTAGTTAGTTTGGATTTGGAATAGATTATGAGTTCCTTACCCTAAAAGTTTTTAGGCTTATAAGACTTATCAATTAACTTTTAATTTTGCGCGCTGAATTATGTAATGATAAGGAAAAGTAAGGTTATAGTTGCTTTATTGACTGTGTTGGCTGAAGTTGTTGTAGACGACTATTTTAGCTGTTTTTCGTACAATTTTTTATTTAATTAATAAAATATACTTTAAATATAATTTGGGAAAAAAATTCTTGAAGTAGGAGTAAAAAAGTTTGAACATTCCAAAATAGAATTGCCATATTTTTATTCCAAACTAGGAGTAATTACTATCAAGTTTGAAAAAATACTACCATGTTCAAGTCCGGTACTGCTAAAACATGGCAATAATTAGTCATATTTTGAATATAAAAACATGATAATCCTATTTTAGAATATACAAACTTTTTTAGTCCTATTTATGGTAATTTTCGTATAATTTTTTCATAAATTTGCAGAATCAGTCTATTCAACCACTTCAACCAGAACTTCATAAATTTCAGCAGAATCGACCAATTTAACTTATTTGGTTATTACTAAACGAGCTATATTGTTACCAATATAACCAATATAACTTCATAATTATTATTGAACACAAACTTATCATACTATTTTTCAGTTTGTTTCCATTTTGAATTGCTTTGGATTTGTTATTTTTATTAAGATATGAAGGTTTTATTCGATTTCTTTAGTTCATTTCGATTTTATTCTTTTTTTCGTTCAGTTCAATTTTGTTATATCCTTGACGATAAAGGCAGGAAATATGCCGCACTTGCCTTTTTGCCGGATTTTTTGATAAGCTTCTGTTTATTTGAATAAACCTCAGTTTAGTTTACAATTTTGTTTAGCTTATTGGTATTTAATGTATCAATCATTCTCGTGATATATAAATTTTACACATTAGTCATTTGTGATTTTTAAAATGCTTCAAATCCTTTATGTTATGATAAAATGATTGATCATGTGCAAAAACTCACCAAATCAAGAACAAATTTAATTTAATAATTTGGATATCACGTCGTGTCTTAATATTATGATGATTGGATGTGCAATTAAATTTGTCAAAATTTCTAAGTTTTATAAAAATACTAATCATTTATCTTTTATTCGGTTATTAAATTTGTTGTTGTAGAAGATTTTGCGTATGATTAACTATAACTCAAGGATGATTGACAAATTTTTTAAATCACAAGGGACTAATACGCAAAATCTATATATATCATGAGGGGTTTGGTGCATTCACTACAAAAAAACAGCGTTATAGTCACGGATTTTAGTCACGGATTTGGTCCGTGACTAGTTTAGTCACGGTCTAGTCACGGACTAGTCACGGAAATTTAAAAAAAAAAATAGTCACGGTCTGGACCGTGACTATGACCGTGACTAATGTTAGTCACGGTCTTGGCCCGTGACTTAAGTCCTCCGATAGGCCCGTTTCCGTTTCCGGCGAAGTTTATTTGATTCCGACGACTTAGTCACGGCCAAATCCGTGACTATACCCGTGACTATAATTAAAATTTATTTTTTTCACCTCCCTTAACTTAATTCGCAACGGTATTATGTACGGATAACTTTAGTCAAGGCCATGTCCGTGACTAGTTCCGTGACTACTTTGATTAACACGTCATTTACACGTCATTAACACGTGTTGGACGCGTATTGGACACGGTTTTGCTTAGTGACGGACAAATCCGTGACTAAGTCCGTGACTAAATTTTTTATATATGCAGGAGCAGCTCATTGAACAGAACCACACCAATTCATTCCCAGTATATACAGTATCCGTAGATCGAAGGATGTAGTCTATCTTCTATCATTTTCCCTGTTTATGCAGATAAGGTATGTTATTTGAATTATAATTTTTATTTAGAATTAGTTGGTTCAATTTAAATTATTAAAACTATTAAATTAGTGAGGTTGTTAATTAATTAACAACATGTTTTAACTATAAGCGTAGTAATGTCATAAATTAGAATTAGTTAAACTTTTAGGTTTATAAATTAAAATAATTTAATTAAAATTAGTTAGCTAAATGTGGTTTAAAACGTAATGATGTTTATGTTTAGTGAAATTAGTTCAAATAACGTACGTTAGTAATGTGTTAATTAAGTGAATTGTGAATTGTTATTGTGAATTGTGTATTGCTTATTAATTCAAATAACTTTATATACATGTTCAAATTATTGGGTTGAATTTGGTCATATTATTTAATTTAGTGAATTGTTAATTGTGTATTACTAATAAGATTAAATGTCATTAACGTAATAATTTAGTGTAAGTTTAAACGTAGGTTTACAAAAATAATTTAATTAAAATTCGTTTGCTAAACGTAGGTTTGAACATAGCTATTGATGTGTTAATTAAGTTAAATTAGGTAGCTAAACGTAGGTTTAAACGTAGTGATGCATTAAAAGGGGACGGAATGAACTAGTTAAATTTAGTTAAATTTAACTAAATGAATTAGTTAGATTTAATTAAACGTATGTTTAATTAAGTGAAATTATCTGCATTATTGTGCATTAGGGGACATATATTTTGTGCATTATTGTTGAGAATTCTGTGCATTTCATTTAAAAAAAGTGAAAATTAGTTGATTATATTTAGTGAAATAAATTACTTAAAATTGTGTGCATTGCATTTCATATAATTTTTTATTATAATATTCAGGCATAATGTATAAACAAAATAGAAGTTGGATGTATGATAAAGATGCGGTATTGTACGGAATGCAATCAAATTTTCTCGAGGGAGTCGGGGAATTTATTGAATTTGCACTTGAACATCCGGCTTATATGAGTGGTGATAAAATAAGATGTCCATGTTCAAAGTGTAAAAATCTCAAATTTAAAGACCCACACGAAGTTGGGTATGATTTGTACGCGGTCGGTTTTGTTCCCAATTATTATAATTGGACTTCTCACGGCGAACCTTTGGATCCATCTGTTATACCACAAACGGTAGGTTCGTCTCGTTACGTCCCTCCAGAGATGAGTGCGTGGGGAGACCGTGCTGAAATGAGGTGGGACCAACAAATGGTATATGACGCATACGGTGTACCGTCTCAATTCAACCCCCCACAACCACCTAACGACCCCCCTGAAGCCTCAACCTCGTATCAACCAGATGCGGATGAAAATCCGACATTTTATCAACCTTATGTGGATGAAGGTTTGGCTGAGAGATTTCAGGATGTTCTAAAAGCTGTCGACCAACCTTTGTATGCTGATTGTGAGGGATACTCTCAGCTATCCGCTGTTACTGAGTTCATGAACATAAAAGCCGAATACAATCTCCCTGAAACTTGCATGAATAGAGTCTTGCAGTCAGTAGGAGGGATGCTACCGCGAGATCATACCCTTCCCGATTCATATTACCACATGAAGCAGTTAATGTCTAAGTTGGGGCTACCTTGTGTTGAAATTGATGCGTGCCCGGAAGGATGTATGTTGTTCTGGAAGGAGGATGAGGCACTTGAGTTCTGCAAGTTCTGTGGTGGAGACAGATACAAACTTGTTCGTCAAGGTAAAAAGAAACCACGACATAGGTCTGCACTGTCTAAACTGTATTACCTCCCAATAGCTCCTCGACTGCAAAGGATGTACGCTTCGACTGCTACTGCGAAACACATGACATGGCATGTTGAGCACGAAACCAACGAGGGTATGATGGCTCACCCTTCGGACTGTGAAGCCTGGAGACACTTTGACCGCTGTCATCCTCAGTATGCTATGGAGCCACGAAATGTGCGGCTGGGATTGTGCTCAGATGGATTTGCTCCTTTTGGCAGGTTTGGCAAGAACTATTCATGTTGGCCGGTCATGTTAACACCTTACAATCCCCCTCCCGACATGTGCATGAAAAGTCATTTCATCTTTTTGTCTTTAATTTGTCCGGGTTCCAAGGATCCTGGGCGAAAGATAGACATTTATCTTCAACCCCTTATTGAGGAGATGAAAGAATTGTGGGCCGTTGGGACACCAACTTATGATGTTTCATCTGATAAAATGTTTATCATGAAAGCTGCCATCATTTGGACCATTAGCGACTTCCCTGCCTATGGCATGCTTTCGGGATGGAGCACACACGGTCTGATGGGATGTCCGATATGCATGGAGAAATCAGGTGCCAACTGGCTCAGTTACAGCAAAAAAGGAAGTTACTTTGATTGTCACCGCAAGTTTCTCCCGGAAAGGCACCGATATCGAAGGGACAAGAAGTCTTTCATTAGAGGCAGAGCGGTACGAGAGAGCCCACCCCCGAGATTGACCGGTGAAGAAATTTATAACCGGGTTCGACGTTTTCCTACGGCTATGGAAGAGCCAAACCAAGAGCCATATGGGTATTGTGATACCCATAAGTGGACAAAGAGGAGCATATTCTGGGAGTTGCCTTATTGGAAAGACCTTCTCATCCGTCACAATTTAGATGTCACGCACACCGAGAAGAACGTCTTTGACAATATATTTAACACGGTGATGGATTTGAAAGGCAAAACTAAAGACGGTCTTGCAGCTAGGAAAGATATGACTATTTGGTGTGATAGACCCGAACTTTCTGTTGATCTAGAATATCAGGGCAAGGAAGTTCCAAAAGCAGTCTACCAGGTCACAGAACCACAAAAGGCAGCAATATTAAAATGGCTTGCGTCTCAGAAGTTTCCAGATGGCTACTGCTCCAACTTGTCTAGATGCGTAGACATGAAAAAACTTACCACGACGACGAGCATGAAAACTCACGATGCTCATGTAATAATGCAAAGACTTCTACCAATTGCACTAAAAGAGATGCTCCCTGAACACGTATGGTCCTGCATTACTGAAATCAGTTTGTTGTTTCAATCGATATGTTCCAGCGTTTTGGATGCGGCATCCCTCCGGAGACTACAAGAGTCTGTTCCCATTCTGATGTGTAATCTGGAAAAAATAATGCCACCATCGTTTTTCGATACAATGGAACATCTCATAATACATCTTCCGTATGAGGCTTTGACTGCTGGGCCCGTCTTCTATCGGTGGATGTACAGATTTGAAAGGTTAGTCACAATTTCATTTAAAAAAAGAATATTTATTTCACAATAACTATTAACATGTGTATTATTGCATTATTGCAGATTTCTAGGAGAGCTGAAAAAGAAAGTGACCAACAAGGCACACATTGAGGCTTCAATTTGTCAAGCGTATCTTTAACAAGAAATCTCAACGTTCTCGTCTTTTTACTTCGAGCGTGACGTCATCACCAGAAGGAAGAGACCTGCCCGGAACGATGACATTGGCGAGGATTTATATGAAAATGTAGTTTCCATCTTCAATTACCCAGGCAGAGGTAAAGGTGCTGCGACACAACGATACATCCTGGGTGGGGAATTGCAAATTGCGCATACTTATATCCTCATGAATTGTCCAGAAATCTCACCGTTTTATCAGTAAGTTAAATTTGTAGTTATAATTGTAATACTTATACATTAAATTTGTAGTTAATTTATAGTTTTTTAATTTTTGACTTCACAGTGAATTCCGAGCTTCTTTATCAGCCTTTCCTGAGAATGAAATTGATGCGTTGGTGGACTCTGATTTTGTAAATTGGTACAAGTATCAGGTATATATATACACACATATATATAATTATAATTGTAATACTTATACATTAAATTTGTAGTTAATTATTAACTAAGTTTTTCAATATTTACCTAATGTTATTATCATGTTTATATTTACAGATCAATAGTCGTGGGATTGTCGACCCTTTGTTACTATCATTAGCGTGGGGCCCAAGTGCCAGTGCCAAAGTGTGGTGGCAATATGTGATAAACGGTTACACATATCACACAGCCGATTACGGACATGGTCGACCAACAACGAACAACGGGTTATGTGTCCCGACCATCGGTTATGATAACTCGGAAACCAATTTTTTTGGTGTTCTGCAGGAGATTCTGGAACTTGATATGCCTTCTGGTGCGCAAAAGATGACATGCGTTCTATTCCGATGCACATGGGTCGATCCCACACGTGGCGTGCGCAAAAATCCGCGAAGTATAATATGATTGACGTCAACCACTCTCGTGTATACCCGAAAAATGAGCCTTTCATACTCGCCCAACAAGCAGCGCAGATTTATTATGCAGAATATCCTACAACAAGGCGGACCCAGAATCCTTGGGTGTGTGCATGTCCTGTCCGTCCGAACAAAATTAAATCACAAACTCAACACAAGGACGTTGATCTAGATGTTTTTCAGCAACAATTTTTCCAACCTCCGCCTATTGTTGAGACGATCAACTATAACGTCCAATTAAGTGATCCCAATGGCGGACGTGTTGAAGTCATGCCCGAAACGCACCTTCCGGACCTAACCATTCCATCTGAGCGCGAAATTGAGGAAATGTATGTAGCACAACAAAACGCTCAATATCAGGAAGAAGGTGAATGGATAGACGGTTCAGATACTGAAGAAGAAACTGTATATGTAGAAAATGACGATTCTGACAGCGAGTAATTGTGCTGTTGTAACTTCAATTTTGTGATATAATTTCTCCAAGCAGATGTGATAATTTCCTTCATCAATATTGTTTGTAAAATAATTACTCCTTAATCTGTTCTATACCACATAAATTCAAAGCAGTTTATTTAATACTCCATAGTCCACACTACAATTACCATGGTATTAATAATTATTCATATAATTACAATAGTAATAATAATAATAATAATAATTATATTAACATTATTTATAATATTAATAATAATAATAATTCTTATTAATAATAAATCATGTCTGAAATTTTCTGATCTGATCTGATTTGACTAAAATAAGAATAAACAATAAGTAATAACTAACACAAAGACGAACAGAACAACACCTTATTCATTTTTCGATTCAATAAGCTGTGTACATAGTTTCAGACGACACATTCTTGTACGCATCATATCTCAGTCAATTGGTTCTTTATTAGTCATTTATAGCATAAAATGCTTGGGTCGCAGGAAAATGAACTTATAAATTTAATAGTCACTGTCATAGTCACGGTCCGGACCGTGACTAAACCCTTCGTAACTGCCGAAGTCAGTCCGCCGGTCAGAGCGGCGCTGACAATAATAGTCACGGTCAGACCCGTGACTATGACCGTGACTATTTTCAAATTTTGAAAATAGTCACGGTCATAGTCACGGCTTTGACCGTGACTATTCCGATTAAAGGCGGCTCTGACCGTCGGCACTGACATCGTCAATTACGAAGGGTTTAGTCACGGTCCGGACCGTGACTATGACCGTGACTACACAATTATATAAAACAAACCCTTAGCGTTTTTTCAAAAACCTACGCACCCAAACTCCCAAACCCTAACTTCCTCTTCCTTCTCTCTTCCCTCTCTTCCAGTTTAGACAGTGCCGCCTAGCTGTCCGCAGTCGCCGCCTAGCTGTCCGCCGTCGCCGCCTAGCTGCCGCCGTCAACGCCTAGCCGTCCGCCGTCGTCCTCCGGCCGCCTTCATCCACCTTCTTCCGTCGGCCCTTCTTCAGTCAAGGTGCATGATAAGATGCATGATTTTTGGTTTCATGATAAGATGCATGATTTTTAGTTTCATATCATTTTGTAATCTTCAAAAGTTATATGTATGATTTATTATATGCATGATTTGTAGTTTTGCATGTTAATTTCATTTTATATGTTTCGTATGCATGATTAATATATGTTCAAATGTAGATTATTTTATGTTTAATACATGTTCATATGCATGATTAACATATTTTCGAATTAATGCGTGCTTATACAATTAGTATCATGTTTAACATATATGTTTAGTGTTTGATTTGCATGCCTCTCTATACATATGTATTAAACATTTAAATTTAATCCCGAAAAAAACTAGACAAAAAACTGTTTTTATAATAGTATAAGCAAAAAAAATATTTATAATAGTATAAGCAAAAAAACTAGACAAAACACTGTTTTAGTTTATATGTTTCATATGCATGATATGATTTATATGTTTTGTATGCATGATAATTATGTTTAAATGATTTAAATTATTATATGTGTAATATATGTTCTTATGCATGATTAATAATATTTAATATATATGATTAGTGTGTGATATGCATGCCTCTCAATGGTTAACCCGAAATATTTAAAAAAAAATTGCCCCCTCATGTTAAGCTTTCACAAACTTAACATGTTTAATTCTAATTTTACAAATTTTTATAAACAAATTTTATAAAAAGTATACAAATTATTTTATAAACAGTTTTTATAAACAGTTTTTAAAATTTTACAAATTTTTATAAACAGTTTCTATAAACAGTTTTTATAAACAGTTTTTATAAATATAAAAAGTAAAAATTGGATACAAAATGGTAAATAAACAGTTTTTATAAAAACTGTTTAATAAATAAAACAGTTTTGTAAAAACTGTTTTTATAAAAACAATTTTGAATGAAAATTTAGTTTACTTAAAAACTGTTTTATATAAAAACAGATTTTGTAAAAACAGTTTTTATAAAAACTGCAGTTTTTTTAAAAACTGTTTTGAATGAAAATTTAGTTTACTTAAAAACTGTTATTGTAATTTAATTAAAAACTGTTTATATAAAAACTGTTTATATAAAAACTGTGTTATATAATCTGTTTTTGTAATTTAACTAAAAAAGTATAAAACTGTTATTTAGACATTATAAAAAACGTTTTTTGTATAAACTTAAACTATACTGTTTTCTAGAAAAACAGTTTGTATAAAAACTGTTTTTTATTTAAAAAGTGTATAAAAACTTTTTTTTATAAACTGTTTTTGAAAAAAAAGTATACTGTTTCTAGGAAACAGTTTGTATAAAAACTGTTTTTTATTTAAAAAGTGTATTAAAACTCTTTTTTATAAACTGTTTTTGAAAAACTGTTTATAAAAATTGTATAAAATTCATGTATCTTAAACACAAAAAAAAAAGATGGCCTCTCATGTAAACTTTGCAAAAAGTTTAACATGTTACTTACAATTGTAAATGTGTATAAAACAGATAAAAAAATGGTCTCTCATATAAACTGATATGACTGATAAAAAAAAGATGGCCTCTCATATAAATTGATATATCGAAAACATAAAAAAATGATCTCCTCTCATGTAAACTTTGTAAAAAGTTTAACATGTTACCTCCAAGTGCAATTTATTACCAAATTATTTAAGAACTTATTATGAAAAAATATGGACCCCTCATATTAAACTAAAAATAGTTTAATATGCTATACACATTTTCAATTAATAATACTTGTATAAATTTTTATAGTGAAAAATAATAAATATACCCCAAACTTTGAAAGGGTGTGAGGTAAGCACCCCAAACTTGCATAAGTAATTTAAACACCCCAAACTTTATATAAAGTTTGGGATATTTAAATTACATATGAAAGTTTGTGGTGCTCTTGTCACATCCCTTCAAAGTTTGGGGTATTTTTATTATTTTTCCCTATAAAAATTTAATAAACTGTGTATAAGTTTAATATGAGTGGTTCAATAATTTCTAATAAACTCATCCTATAATTTATCAATGAGTTGACCCAGTCGATCGAAGAATCGATCAGTTGGAGCTTGTCAATGAGTTGACCTAGTCAATTCTTAGATAAGCTCCAATCTGTGGATTTTTCTGGCTATGGCTTGAGTCATCGATGGACTCTCTCAAGTGCATGTACTGACATTATGTCGCTATATGTGATGTAGCCCATCCATGGTTCAAGGCGTAGCCTGAAGAATCGTCAGAATGGAGTTTATCAATGAATCGACTCGGTCAACTCATTGATAAGCTCCAACCGGTTGATTTTTCGATCGACTGTGTCAACTCCTTGATAATTATAGTATTTGTTTATTAGCAATTATTGGACCCTGATATTAAACTTATACCCAGTTTAATATGTTATGTACATTGACAATTGATAATACTTACGTAAAAATTTGATTTTCTATTATAAGCGTTCTAACAAAAAACAAAATAAATTAATATATTTTAGATGAGCAACGAACAATCGACCTCGGCTCCCCGCCCTAACTATTATGCGCGCATGTCCGAAGCGGAGCGCAACAACGATGGAGCTGTTTGGGTGACGCCTGCAGAAGTTCTTTTGTAAGTAGTTATGAAAAAACCTTATTTTCAATAATTTTATATAATGTTAAATAATCTAACCAAATCTTATATAAATAAATACTATTAATTTTTTTAAGCGACGAACAAGTGTTCAAAGGCATCAAAAGCATAATCGGAGGACACTTTCTTGGCACTTGGGCCACGCTGTCGGATGTTGACCCCAAGGTTCGCGAACTATGGTGGAACCTGTTCAAGGTAAAAATAAATGAATGTTCCCTCCCTGATTGTATTGGCCTAATATATACCTGGTGATTAATTAATCCAATTTGTTTTAATAAAGGCTCGCTATCGTTGGACTCACGCAAACGGTGCCGATATTCTTAAAGCCTACAATGCTAGGATTTCGACCTGGCTTCGCGCCACTTTTAAACGTGCGCGAAAAAGTGGGAAAAAGCCTAAATGGGTTTCGGATGAAGTGTGGTCCAACCTTTGTCGCCACTGGTCTTCTGATCCGAAATTCTTGGCTAGAAGTGAATCCGGTAAGAAAAACCGGATGTCCGAGAAGGCCTTGGAGATGCAGTGGCACGGAGGTCGTAAATCTCAGAATGCCCATAAAGAAACTCTTGTAAGTGCTATTCAAAAAACCGCTCAACATCACAGTCCTTCATTATAAAAAATTTACTTAAGTCTTTTTCACACCATTTAGGCTGGTCCTGAGAAGAAGAGGGTTGATGTTCTCCGGCTCGTCAAGCATTGCTGGACGAAGCACGGCGAGGAATCTGAAGCCGATTTGCCACCCCGCCTCGCTGACTTCGAAGTATGTAACATCATATTTTGTTATTTAGTAACATTTCAAATCTAAGTATGTAGCATTTAAAAAATATTTTTGAAAATGCAGACGAAGTACAACGAATCCCTCGACAGGCAGCGTGCGGCACGAGGCTTGACCCAGGAGGACGACCTCGATTCCGATGCGGATGATGAGGCGGCCATTGAGGCGGCCGGGGTTTACAAGGGCCGGGTTCCGTGCTTGGGGGCCGAGGGGCAACGGATTTTGTATGATCAAAGCACCGACGCTTCCTCTTCTCGGTCAAGGCGGGGAGAAGATCCCCGTATTGCTACCCTGCAGCGTGAACTGGAGGAGCACGAACGGCGATGGGAGGAGCAGCGGAAAGCAGATGAGGCCACAAAAGCCCGGTTGGAGGAGATGGAATGGTACATGCGTGCCGGATTCCAGCCTCCGCAACAGCCTTTTCCTCCCCCGTACGTATTCCACCCTGAGCAAACTCCTCATGTTCCGCACATGGGCGGTATGGGATTTTTTCCCAACTCCGGATACGGTGGCATGCCTATGCTTTCGCCGAATTTCGGATCTATGTCCTTTGACTTTGCGAGGTCATCCGGAGGAGGTAGTGGTCCACCGAGCCATGGACCCCGGGGAGGACCCCGAGGAGGAACCCGACCTGACCCCGAAGACCCCCCCGTGAACCCAGATGAGTTTCTTGTTGATGATGAAGAAGAAGAAGAAGAAGAAGAAGAAGAAAATCCCAATTTTTATCATAATGGAGTCCCACGGGACATGTAATCATCATACATTTATTATTTGTTGTATTTCAAAACATTTAAAAGTTTGTCACAATATTTATTGAATTTGTTGTATGTCTTTACTCTTAAAATGTATTTATTTTAAAAAAAAAAGTCTAATATTTTCAATAACTCATTTTTCAAAAAACATTTTTAATTTTAATTTGTAAACATCCGTTTTTAAAAAAGTAATTTTTAAAAACATTTTTTTTAAAAAAAACGAAAACTGGAATTTTTTTTAAAAAAAAACAAAAAAAGTAGTCACGGCCTTATCCGTGACTATAATTAATCCGAAATTATTTTTTTTTTTAAATAAAAAACAAAATTTTTTTCCCCAAAAAAACCAATTAGTCACGGTCGACACCTGTGACTAATTTCAAAATTTTAAATTACCGCCGCGGGCGGTCTTTTAAAAATTTTGAAAATAAGAAAGATTAGTCACGGCTTCTGACCGTGACTAATACGCCGGAGTGGGGTTCCGGCGAGTATAATAGTCACGGCCGCCGACCGTGACTAGTCCGTGACTAAATTTAGTCACGGTTTGTTGGACGTGACTTCAATTTAGTCACGCCCATTAAGTCACGGATTTAGTCACGGCCAGCGACCGTGACTACATCTGTTAGTCACGGAAAAATTGAACTGCTGTCCGTGACTAAGTCCGTGACTACAGGCGTGTTTTTTTGTAGTGATTACACCCTAGCGTAATAGTGCATTTTTATTTATATCCTTCCACCCTTAGCTTTCACATCCTCCTAATTTCATTTAAGTGAGATTACGAAAAAGAAATAGTTTGATTTGAAGTTGCTCATATGAGGAGGATGTGAAAGCTAGGGAAACAAAAGCAATTGGGATAAGGTGCATATTGCCCATTAAGATTTAAATGAAGAAGCACATTAGACACTAAGGTTATTTTAGGAGCAAATAAGTCAATATTTAAGTTTTTTGGGGCATAACACCCACCCACTCACATAGTCACATATATAATTAACTCCGTTTACTTTCACCGGCTTCTTTAATAGGGAGTACTTCAATGTTTATTGATTCAGAGTATGAGATTAACTTTACTCCAATAAAAAAATATTTAGATTTCTAATTCTTTTCCATTTTGTTTTTTCTCCAGGTTTTTCTTCGATGTATTCATAATTATTTTATATTGATTTTAATACCTGATGTATGTCAACATGTATTTTTTGACTATATGCATATTAGTATAATTGTACTTATGTATACATATATACGTTTTATATAAACATAGAGAAATGTTTTAATATAAAGTACTCTTCATATGAAACTGAGAAATAATTTTAGCCATTAAAATGAGAAAATAAGTGAATCAGATCAATTTTTAAGTGCAAAATATGGTGACAAAAAGTGTAAATATTAGCAACTTTTTTTACAAATAAAATGCTAAATGTTCATAACTATATAGGAAAAGTGCGGACATTTGACTAACACAAAAGTGAATCGCTTTTTGAAATACGCTAACAAATGTGATCGGTACAAAGAATATTTTGGAAAATGTTTTTTACACGAATGTTTTTAAATTTGGGGTGGATTAGGACCTAGATTGGCCCTCTCTAGCCCCGCCTTTGTCGGTCGCTAACACATATTGGGACCCAAAAATATTGTAGCTGCCAATGATATTGTGGACATATTCTCTTCGCTAAAATAAAATTATATTTAATTTGAGTGTACTAGCTTATGTATGACAAACTATAAAATAATATATTTGACTAGCTATCAATAAAATCTAGTCAAATAATAAAACAATATTTTATTATTTTACATCGTAATACATTTAACAATATTGGTCCTAATACAAATATGTAGTGAAAGGAAAAAATAATTTAAAGTATGGTATTCTGTGTTTTTTAAAGTGTATTATGTGTGTTGTTTCTTTAACACAATAGAATTAAATAATAGTGCAAATTTGGATGGAGCTAAGCCGTGGGCAAGGAGCAAGCCAAAAATGAAATTTAAGCTTTTGTATCTCATACTACAATCCGTATGAAATTAAAGTATAGCAAGGTGCAAATTTTGGATTAAAGTTAATCTCATAATCCCTATCAATAAACATAAAGTATTCCGTATTAAAGAAGCCGGTGAAACTATGGTTAAAGCAAACGGGGTTAGTTACATCCGTGAGAGGGTGGGTAATATGCCCCTTCTCCCAAAGCAATTTAAACTACACCGTCTTCAATTAAATTGTAAAACTATATTAAAACGAATGAAAAGGGAAAGATAAAATTTATTTTGAGAAAAAGGAAGCGTATCTTTAAGATGAGAATGTAAAGAACTAAAATTAATTCGTGGGTATAACTATGTAAGAGTGGGGATACAAAGGGGATTAAATACCTTACCCTGAAATGAGTGCAAGGATAGATTAGTAACATGGAAACCCATGACTATCCAAAGCTAATGATTGAATCCAATTAGTTAAAAGAGAGGCCACTCTATTGGACTCCAAATTGCATTGACTCCAATGAGACATGATAGTATATATTAGCTTCATCTATGACATTAAGTATATTTTGAGCAATGTATTGAACTTGTGTCACAAAAGGGGGCAATTAAGACCTTCTTAAACCACCTCCGGCCCCTATGGTGGGCCAGATTTGGAGGATATATTGTAAACCACCAATTCAACCATCCCAGATTACCAAATACCGAAGAGATGATACGCCAATGGCATGATAACATTTCAGCTGCGGAACCCAAAAGCCTCTGACTAATCAAGAGCTTTTAAAGACTCCGATCATGCAATACATATGACCTTGTGGGAAACTAAGTTTCCACTACCCTCTGGTTAAATAAGAGCTTTCAAGCATTTGATTGTTGTCAAAGAGTTAAACTAGAGACGATGCCTTTGAAAACAACACAAATACTCCTTTTAGCTCAGCATGAAACTCGCCTAAAGGAGTGGGTGGATAGGTAACTCTGGCCTCCGCAAGAATGTACGAACATAGTACAATCTCAAAATAATGAATAAATCAATCCTTTTAGCTTAGACAATTTCGCCAAAGGGAGTGGGAGATAAAGATTGAGTGAGTATATGGGCTTAAATGATAAACGCCACTGATTAAATTAATTTCATTGTGTATGTTTTCACTTTTAAGTGGTTTTTATTATGTGGTACCGTAGTAATTGTGCATTTACGGTGTCACCTTTTATTTGTCTAGTTTATTGTAATTTGATAAGTTTAGAGGATCCTGACTTGCCCAATCAACCTAACATTTGGCAATAGTTACGAAAATGTTGAAATCTAGTCATACGCGACTCGATATGTCAATATACCACACTAGGGATATGACCAAATCTGATTTCCAGTGTTCTTTTTCTTTGTTTGATCTTCTACGATCTTCGGGTCGAAGCATACCCAACCGAGTATTGGCCATACCCGACTGGGTGTATCATCAGATTTTTCTTATTTCTTTGTCTCTCATGAAGCTTCTGACGTGCACTTTGTCGTGCTGTCCACTCAAAATAATAATCAATACAACAAATATACGTAGTATATTGCAGTAAGGTTCGTATCCACAGGGAAATGAATACTTTTCTTTTATATAACCAGTAACAAAGGGGGGATTTTTGTTTGATTTGATTTAATTTAATTAACACAAAGATGAATGACTTATATGAGTTTAATTAATAGAGATGGGGTCTTGATTTTG